GGAACCCCCCCCCCCCCCCCCCCCTCTATATCATAGTAGATTGATGATATCATCCTAGGGAAGGCGGTACCGAAGTAGCCACGGAGGGAAGGGCGCTGCTACCGTTGTGTCGTCGTTGTTGCTAGTGTTGCTGCTACTGTTTGTCAGTGGGTAGTGTCGATTGGCGTGTTTCTGTGGGGGGACGGGGTCTCGAGTCGTTTCTCATTGTCCGTTGGAAACCCCGAAAAACGCCAACGATCTCAACGGCTCCCTTTCGGCCTCGCTGCCGAGGGCACCTACCTCTATATGCTTGCATAGAGTTGGCTGGTTGGTGGTCTGCCGAAGTACACGCAATGGCGCGTGCCTTTATGTTCCCATTACAACGAGCTCCACAGCAGCATCCGTCATCATCGCACGCCGCATTTGAGAGAGAGAAATATGTGCACGTTACCCAACGCTACCCCATGCCACGTCTTTTCGTAGCGAATAGTCGGTCGGTAGATATCTCACGTTTCGCCGAATGTGCTTGTCTCACCTTTCGCCTAAGAACGAACACCGTGACCACGGAAGGAACGCGTCCGCGTCAGCCTGACCGGTAACGCCTGTAAACGTGACAACAACAACGGCAACAACAACAACAACAACAACGGCGACGACGACAACAATGACAACAACGGCAACATCAACAACAACCACCTGCTGTCTATCGTCGCGGGATTTACCGACCACGATCACTCGACGTGTGCCTCAGGCGAACTATTAAATATCTATATAATCGCAACACCGCGGCCAGGCTGGCTCTTGGAGATGAGCAATCACTCGTTCGAAGCCCTGAGGAACGCGATTATGTTTTTTTTTTGTCCATTTGGTGCCATTCGGGTTGTGACAATGTCGCTTTTTAACGCCCTCCCCCAACCCCTCCGCGGGCCTCCCTCTGGCGACTCCCCCCCCCCCCCCTCCTCTCCTTCTGCGGGCCTCCCTTTCGTGACCTTGCTTGGGTTGCGGCAGGCTGTACAACTCCCTGCCGGAGGTGCGCGAGGCTCGAGAGAAGAAGGAGAAGAGCGAGGAGCGAGTTAGGCGTTTGCTGCAGGCGAGGGCCCTCGAAAAATCTCGACATCGCTCTCGAAGGGGTGGAGGAAGAGGAGGGGGAGGAGGAGGAGGAGGAAGGAGTTCTGGCAGGAAGTGAAAAGGGTCGATTTATCCGCATCGCAGCATGAACGCGTGAAAACGAGGCGGAGGAGGCGTTGAAAAAGGAGTGAATAGCGGCACAAAGACTACGAAGATTGTTGGAAGTTGTAGTCCCCCGCGAGCTTGTGGGATGCTGCCAGGAACGGCGAGAGCATACAGTCTACATGTATTCCATTAGTGTGGCGCGTCCGATCTGCTTCGTGGTCTCGATGGTCTCTGTATATTAGGGCCGCATAGTGGTGCGAAGGGATTTGGCGGGCCTAAATAAGAAATAAATCCGGGATCCCGGCACGGTTCAGAGCATGGGACACCGTGAATATTCCATCCGTTTCACGCGGCATCACAGGCCATGTAACAGGGCGACCGCCCTTACATCGGCAACAAATGGTTTATTTTTTGTATTCATACTGTAGCATACTCAAGACTGTATCTGTGGAGGTTAAGCTCCTTTCGGTCGCGTGCATCATACGGTCAATGTCACTGGCTGCTTTAAGTTTCACGGCCTACGCTTGACCAGTGCTGTATTGCTGGGGTTTCGCGCTGCTGCCGTTGTTGCCTGCCGCAGCTGCTGCAGTGTGTGTTTGTGTCATGTGTGACTTCTTGAACAACTTTTTTATGACGTGCGTGCGCTTCAGAGTATTTCATGTGTCGTAGGTTTTTAGGGCGTTGCCTAGCATGCATCCGCTCTCGGGAAAGGCTGGTGAATTTAGGTTGTGTGTACAAAGTGGTGATGCGATTGTTTGGAAGCGTTTTCTCCTTTTTTGAAGGACATACTCACGTACGCATACGTGCGGACTTTTTAACTTTCGTTCAGTGAAAATAAATTTTCATTCAGAGAGATGTGCTTGTACATTCGCAAATGCTGCCGGAGTCGCCCCCCTCTAGAAGCTACTAGCAGTATTGTCAAGCCTGACTGAACACACTCACTCAGACGGCTAAATATTGGCCATCTGTATCCAGCTCCACACGTAAGTGTGTTCGTGGAACTCGACAGGAGGCAATACCCCCAAGAAAACGAAGGGTTGTTGTAGTCAAACCCTTGGTCTATTCTCGGACGTGGGGACTGACTCGAAACTAGGGGAGGGGCACTGGCAGGCAGCACGAGGAGGATGCCTGCTCTCAAGATACAGCAAGGGCTACCCACACTCAAGAACCTCTAGTATTCTAGTTTGGCCGGGAGGTCTTACTTCCGGGGGTCACGCTACGAATGGGCTCGATCGACTACCAAGTTTTCGTGTAGCGGTAAATAACCGAGCTACACAAAGGGTGCTCAAGTTTTCGATTTTTGAGTTTATTTGAGGCTCAACTTCTTCTCTCCTGGGTTCTCAAGTGCGGGGACTTTCTGTGCCCACCCGTGGTGGTCGGACGCTGCGTCCAACGTCTGGCGCCAGGCGTCCAACATGCCAAGCAGACAAAACAAGTGGGCATCCATCAAAATGGTGCCGCACATGTACCACATTGGGACACCGCACACGGCGTCTAAATAGCTTGACAGCGATTTCGGATGGCAAGCCTGGCCTCAAATGGTGATTAAATGACTTCTGGTGATGGTGCGGGAACTACACGGAACCACCAAAACTTGACCACCAAAACACGGCGGAGAACTGCTGTGTTGCCATCTCTTGTCTTGTTCCCTTTCACTAAACCTGTGTGCGCAACTAACGGCCACAAAGAAAACCGCACAATTCCCCACCCACCCCCTAAAAGAACAACGCAAGGACGAAGCATTTGTTTACCGTAGTAGAACTATATAAAATCTCAGTATCCCGGTGGTCCTAGCCCAACACACCATCGACCTGAAAGGCTCTTCAAGACGTCTGAACTTTAAAGCACCAACCCGATAAACCGCTTCGGTTGCGGACACACCTGGGGCTGCAAGTGTTGCAGAGCCCCTTTTCTTATCTACAAAAAAGCAGTAACCGCCCAACGGGGAAAGAACCCCCGCAATTACACTCGTAGACGGTCGAGGCGGCTCAGGTGATATACAAAGAGCTATCGGGGGGGGGGGGGGGGGGGGGGG